TATTTTTAAGGCTTCTGAAATATTGATTTAAGACATTTTAAAGTTAATTAAGGCCTTTTATTTTGATTGATGAATTCATTGACTTTTAAGACTTTTCAAGGGTCTGCAGGATCCCTGATGACAGTTTCTTCTGGTCTGACTGTTTTGAATTCGTAGTCAATTCCAACATGATCTGCTTTGACACTTTGAGTTAGAAAGAATCCTGTTGCAATAAAATTGATTATATTTAGATGTCTGTGTCAGTCGCAGTCGGAAACTTGCATCAGTTGAATCACCAGAAGCGGCTGTACGCATGCAGTAATGATGAAGCATCTCTAATTTCTTCCACCAAGCTAACCATAGTCATTCAACTAAGTCTCACGGGTGAACATATTTTCCGTTCAGATGGCCCATACCTGCTGTGTACACTAGAAGACCCATATGGATCACAAAATACCTGCTGTGGCTCTAAATTTGTTCAGTCATTGATGCATCAACCAACAAAATGGTATCACGTAGAGCTCAGGAAGTTTTCTGAAATTATGTATTTCAAACACAAATCATGGCTCTTTAGCAACCTTAATCAGCTATTTTACAACTGTGAGAGAGCAGTTTTAGGTAACAAGCTCCATGAAGTGATGTGGAAAAAGTAACTGAACAAAAAGGACTAAATAAAAGAAGAAAGAAATAAAGKTGGACTGCATCAAGCTCGAGTTCCTCAGAATACCGTGGAGCATGCCATGACACCACAGGACCCCCCTTGGCTTGTTCAGTGGTATAGCTGATAATAATGTTTGCGCTGCCCATACAAATGGTGGCAAATCAGCAAGTCTGCGAAGCAACGTATCTGCTGGCCCATATCTGTGACATGAATGTGCTGTGATAACCATGACAACAACAAGATTAGGCGGAATAGTATGTCTCTGCAATCAATATGTCCCGATAAAGTCTGCCTCTGCTCATTCCAAATGAATAAACATGAAGAGAGAAATTTTCTTCCCACCACAAACTTTGCCTTTTTCCCTTCTCTACAAAGCAACAATCACTGTTGTGTCAAGAAAACAAAAGTCAAGCTTTATCACAGCAGCAAATGCCACAATCAGTAAAATGCTTTCCACAAAACGCACTAAATAATGATTCCTCTGAACACGTTCATCAAATTATGCAAACTGGAACAAAATTATCTTTAATTACTGTAGTTATATAACAAGGCCTGTTGCAGAATATCCATAATTTTATCTGCTTAGTTGCTGAGGTGCATCTTTAGTAAAATCAGTAAATCAGTTTGTTACTCAGAATCAGGGTTCTCCTGTTGCACCAGGAGAAAATATTTGAACACAAAATGGGCAAATACTTCAAAAAGCAATGTGTCACCTAGTTATCAAGTCTGCAACCTGCATCCAAACATGGCACCTTTAACAGAAAATAACCACTTGTTCCGATTAAAAATTAAACCACATCAGAACTAAATCAAACCTGATATTTTTGGGGTGTTTTAGCAACATTTTTAAAGACTTTAACAAGAAAATACTTGTGATTTAGGTGATGATGAAAAAAGTATTAAATAAAATTAACCATTTACCCTTAGTTTTATGATGTTTGTTTCTGTTGGCATTCCCTTGTTTTTGGTTTTTAACTTGTTTCCACGTTAAATAATTTAATCAGTTTTGTTAGTTTAGCAAGTTTAGCAAGTTTGTCAGTGGATCTGTGCTCGACAATGCAGCCTAGGTGAAGTAGTCGAACACAGATCCTCTGAGCCTTCAACACAGAGCATCTGTATTGTTCCATACACAGTGTATTGAACAGTTATACAGATACATGTATTGTTGCACCACTTATACAACGTAAAGGCTTTTCCTAGATGCATAATTAAGTATTTCTTATTTACAGTGATTAAGCTGTGATTAAATCATATGCTCTCTGTTCTGAGTGACTCGTGATGTGGGTCATCTCAGTACAGGCAGTACTTTTGAGGTTCTCATCTGCTCTGTTGTTTTAGCTTTTGTAAATCCTCGTTTTGACTSCTGAATGCTATAATTTGCGTGCCCGCATTCACTTGTCCAATCACTCCTCTCATCACTTAGTTTCTCTAACTCTCTCACATCCTGTTGCTGTCTCGTATTACGTCCTGTTTTCTGTCGGCTCAATTTTTCCCACCTTTCACTTGATTCATGGCTTGAATTTATGTTTAGACTTCTGAATGCGCTGCCTTGCCAAGGTCTTAGATTTTTACTGCATCCAATAAAAGCATTTTAGTTTCGGCACCTGCTTTCGTTCTCTCTGGTACGTCCTCTTTCACCTTGGATGTTTTTTAATCCATTTTTTTCAGTGAGTCATGCTTTGGGATGTGCTTGGACTTAGCTGTAGAAAAAACTTTTGGATTTAATTATTTAAACTGATTCTGATATGGCAGCTTTGTGTAAAAAGCTTTGTAGATAAAGATGTTTATGTTCTGAAAAAGAGTTTTCATTCATCTGGTCAAGMAAAAGTAGAATGTACTGGTTATCTTTAGATTTGGTTGCTTCATTGTGACAAACAGATGGTTGGATTTATTTCACAGATGGTTGTTTTTAAAGATCTGTTTATAGAGCGAGAGTTCATTTCCACAGCAGGATATTTTTTATAACCTGATTTATTCTAATCCATTAAGACATTATACATTTTAATGCAATGTAATAATACAGTTAGAATCATTTTAATTATAAAAATAGCATAAAATCCTTTATTACATTAAAGCTCCCAGTTAAGTTGAATCCACTGTTTATTTAAACAAAAATACAGTATATTATTGTTTGAATACTAAATGAGCATCCATGTTATTAGTTTCCTGGTTATTAAGTTTTATGTATTTACTTCTGCATATTTTGGGTTATTTTAGTCATTCATGTATCTAATTTAAAAACCCGTTTAGACGTTTGGTGCTACGATTTTTGGTTTTTGTAACTTTCAGTTTTCAAAAAAGAAGTTTTATTTACAAATGATTTCCTTTTAGAAATGAATCTCTTCAGATGTTTTTAACATATTGTTCTGACATTTACTCTAGAATACTGAAACTATTTCTGTTTTCTCATGCTTCTTTGAGCTTTACTTACTATTCTAATTTAAATTTTTAGCTAATTTTTTGGCTACTTTAAGCTTTTAGCTACTGTGTTTCTACTTTTAGCTATCTTTTTGCTACTTTTTAGCTATCTTATTGCCACATGTCATTCAAAACTCCACCTTCTGTTTGCTGATTGGCCCAGGTAAAATAAACTACAAGCAGACACTGCGCAGAAAATCAACCTTCTGTTCTCTGATTGGCCCGAATGAAATGCTCTTGAAGAAATCCTTGTCTATGGGAGAAATCCCAGACGGAGCAGTGAAGGGAAACTGGAAATGAACGGAACTGCGTAGGAAGGCAAGGGCCAGGCTAGCATTTTCATAATAATTGAAGGTAACATAGTTACAGGATTGCAGTGCAGAACTGAACCACGTGAAAATACACAACACCGCCCCCTCCCCTTAAGCGTTATCTAGTTTTCTGCTTCCTTTTGCTCTAACAGCTCAGTTCCGGCTTCTTCAGCAAATTTGAACGAAAACATTCAGCTCTCAGGTTTCACACAGCATTTTCAGAGTAAATCCAGTCCCTCTAGTTTGACCAATCATTGTTAGTGATAATGACATTTAAGCACAAGTGAAGTCTGGAGGTAGATGTCGTTTGGGGTCTTAAAAAAATTAAAGCCGTGCTCCTCATGGAGTCTTTTCCAATACGCGTGATTCCAGAGATGACAATGACAGACTGTGTACAAGCTCAATCCATAAATTTCTATAATGCAAAGATGTGCTTCAGTGGTGAGAACTGACCTGTGATGCATTTAGAATTTGTCTCCAAAGGGGGAATCAATATTTCTTTTGAGCTGCATAGTAAGCAAATCGAAATTCCTTAGCAACAGATAATAGATGTAAAATGTCAGGTGACTCCATCTCTCCGTTACCATCGTGAAAATAGACAATCCTCAAGTTATTCATTTAAATTTATGATATCTTTAACAACACATTCTCTCCTGGAGGGAAGTAATGTATGAGCAAAAAAGGAAAAACAATAAAAATTACACAAAAACACTTTTCTCTCTATCTCAGGGGTATTTTGGCATGTCCAAGTTGTTCATTCTATTCCAACAACAGCTTTTCCCATTACTGTCAGACACATTGTCCCTTCGCTGCGATAGATTTGCTTCTTCAATACAAAACAAGACACTAACTTTTTAACACATGTCATAAAGCTGTGAGACATCTCATTCGGCGCACAAGGACCCGTGTTGATCTGAGACTTCAGACGTGTCATTGGAGAGAACAAACGGTAAGTCATCTGACGCTTTCTCAAATGACAAGCCTGCCACGAGACAGCCAAAAGCTTAGAAGTGCAGTTCACTTGACACACAGTCTTCGGGGATGTGTCACAAAAAACGTTGCCCCATTAAAGAAAAAAATGGTAGAGTGGGTGGGAGAATGAGTTTGGGTACATAACAAATAAAGCACTGGCCTACTAAGGAATCCAGAGGGAGCGTTCTGTGTGCAGCCTCGGTATCCATTTAACAGGAGAGCTTACAGCAGCCAGCTACTTACAGCTGAGCTGAAGTGTTATATTACTCACCGAGCTCAGCTGGAAATGCTATAGAAAATGTGTTTGCCTAGGATCTACTCTCCTTTATCAATCCAAAACAGCAGGGACCGCAGCTTTAAGCACCATGCCAGGGTTCCAGCAATAGCAAACAACATTTCAGATGGGCGAAAAAAAAAAAAAAAGAAAAAAGAAGAGAAATGGCTGCACAAATAAGATTTCAGTTTTGTCTCTGTAAATCCTTTAAAGTGGAATCTAACACGGCACATCCTCCTGATTCACACCAAGACTATACAGACACCTGGAAAAGAAAACCATTCAGACTTTGAAATAAAAGCTCACATTTAAAAACAAAGAGCCCTTCAAACCTGAAAGGGAAAATGAGAAAAAAAGGTGGAAGGGTAATCCTTTTGACTCTTACCTATGAAACGGTTCCATTCTGTGTCCAGGTCTGCCTGGTTTGCCAGGCAGCCTCTCATAACGTTGTGACAGTAGTTGTGGCAGGGTTTCAGCCCGGGCATGCTGCGGCAGTATGGACAGTACAGCATCTTGGTCAAGGCTTTGACACACGCTGGAACTACATTCACCTACAAAACAAACACAAGCTCGTTAATTTCATCCACTCTTAATAAACAATGTTGCAGCTGCAGAGTAGTTTGTTTATTTTGCTCAAAACAGGTAACATTTATAGGGGGTGGGGTG